AAACTACTTTTATTGGTATGTTACACTAGCCTACTCCAGATAAAGTGGTGCTATAAGATGTTATGTGTGTATTTTTTTCGTATATTTTGACCTGCCAAACACGATCTTCGATGACGGCTTGCTGTAAAATTTGCACATCAATAGTTTCTAAGAAATTTTATAAAGGAGTTAAAAAATCATAAAATTTCGGCGAAAAAAAATTTTTTCGTATCCTCTAGCACATATTTGAGCAAAAAATGCCTCTTGAAATTTTTTTTGAAACATTATACTTTTTTCGTAAAAAATTTGCTAACTTTTGAAAAATTGGAATTTTGCGATTTTTAACCATTAATATCTTGATTGTTAAAAGTTTTTTTGCAACTCTAAAAACCGTAAAAGTTTTTTTAAATATTGTACTTCGAGAATATGTAAACTTCAGACTGGTAAAAAAATTTGTATCTCGATTATAAGTTTTCAATCGTGAGCTTCCTGCTATGCTACCCATGGTCTGCATACCTCTAAAAACAAGATGTACACCCTAGACTTGAAATAGTCCATCCAATTTTTCTCGAGTATTTTTCTTACTTATACGAAATTATTAATGGTGGATTGTAGCATGTCTATGACATTAATAATTATAAACAAATTTTGCAACACATGTGGTTGTCGTCGACGCCGAGTATTGGCATGCGACAACAGTAAGCAATGGGCAGTGGAAGCTGTGAAGTTGAAGTTGTATTTGTGCTGTTTAAGACTGTCAGCTCAAAAAACTTGGAGACGTTAGTGAGCACTATACGACATATATTGCGCAGTATTAGATTAGAGCTGTGTATTAAACTCTCTCACTAAGCTAATTTCCAGAGCAACTTTAATAAATTCTGTTATTATGAAATAATGACTGATGCGCAACTCAATTAAACGAAATCAACTTTATTTATTTGACAAGAAACCAAAGAAATATTTACAATGAAACTGTAAGTTATCTCTAGCGAAGAAGTTGCGCGGCACAATAACAAATAGTCTATGACCGTCTTCTGAACGATTAAATCTTTACTTTTTGAAAATTACGATGGTACAATTAATAAACGGCAGCGGCTTACCAAGTACGTAATCGAAGAAAGAAACAGAGAAACCAACTAACGAACCCCTTGGAAGAACAACTTTCCGGGATTCCATAGAATGACGAAGAGGGTTGAAGCAAAAACAAAATGTCGACTCGCTATTGAAGCCAAGATCGACAGGAGTAGAGCGGCGTATCAGCAGAGAGAACAGCGTTCTGCTTGGGACCTGTAGTGCAAGGAGATTGGACTAGCCGCTGCGACTTCTCAAACCGAAGTGTACGACGCTCGGCTTCTCGACCGTGCCCAAGCGCAGGAGAAGAGAAGGAGAGGAGACGCGTCGTACATAGATATACTCAATGCTTACGAGTATACACGACTTACGTGGTGGAGGATCTGACGCTCTCCGCTCCCCTCTCCATACTAACTACATGTACACGCGTTATCTTTCTCCCTCCGTCTTTCTTATTCAATCACGAACAGGATAAGTGACCAAAATGAGAAAAAAAGTTTTTTTCGTTAAATAAGAATTTTTTTTCTTATTTCTTGGATAGTAGATAAATTATAGTTTGAAACCGTAAAGTCCTCCATATAATTTTGTTTCATCATACTTTCCACATTCATCATACATACATTTTTTACATTTGTGTATTTGTTTTAACACTATGTAGTAAATAGATACAAAATAATTCACTGTCAAAGAATACAGAAGTTTCATTGAGGTAACACTATTTTTCAAGTTTTATACACATTTTTTTACAAACGTTGTCTTTCTTAAGCAAATTAAAATCTTTTAACAGTGTTAAGCAATACATGAGTAAAACTACAATTATTTGTTGCATTCGGTACCTTAAACTGGTGTGATATAAATTTTTTCTATAAAGACTTTTTACTTTGAAATTTATATCTTTTAACTAAAAATTTTATAAAAATAAATAAATAAGACGTCCAATGACAGTTGTCTTTGGACGTCTGGAACGTTGTTTTTGTTTTTGAATAAATACAAAAATATGACATTACCACCATTGGACGTTTTTTTAAANTTAAGAAGAGTTACTATAACAGTATCAAATAATAGTTTAATGAATGCCAGAAAAATTTTGGATAATGTAGTAAATAAAAATGCAAAATGCAAGATGTCTGACAAATTGAGGATGTAATCTTATCATAATAGCAAGCAATCATTAATAGATTTTCCAACCATCTCAAATTTTATATAGCTGCACATACTTTAGGATTTTTTCAGAGTATGCGCTCAGACGAAATGTTTGGAAATAAATGCTTCCAAATTAAATCTAAAAAATTTTAGGTTTATTGAATTAACTATCTAATGTCCGAAAAGATAAAGACATAAAAATACCTTCCTGTCATGATCATCTTCTAAAAAAATGTTTAGGAAACTTAAAAAATTGTGTTACTTTAACAAAACTTCCTCATTCGCGGATAGTAAATTATTTCGTATCTATTTACTACATAGCGTTAAAATCAAAAAGTTCATGTAAAAAATATCGAAGTATAATGAATGTGGCACGTATTATAAAACAAAATTTAATTGAAGACTTTACGGTTTGAAACTATAATTTTTAACAAAAATAAGACCTGGGTATTTAAAAATGAATTACGATTTTTTTAAATTGTGAATTAATTTTTAAATCTGTCGTCTTGTAGAGAACAATTCTAAAAGATAATTTTCATGTTAAACTAACCAAGAAATAAGAAAAACAATTTTATCTCACGGAAAAAAAAATTTTGTTTGCCATTTGATACATATCAATAATTTCCAATAACTAATGAAAATACTCTAGGAAAATTGGGTAGACTAGTTCAAATTAAAGGTGCACATCTTATTTTTACAGGTATGTAGACCATAGGTAGCATAGCAAAAACCTCACGATTGAAAGCTTATCATCAAGAAGCAAATTTTTTTACTAGTCTGAAGTTTACATATTCCGAAAGCATAATATTTAACAAAACTTTTACGGCTTGCAAAGTTGCAAAAAATGTTTAACAATCGTGATACTAACAGTTGAAAATCGCAAAACTCCAATTTTTCAAAAGTTTGCGAATTTTTTACTAAAAGAGTATAATGTTCTGAAAAAAATTTTAAGGGACATTTTTCGCTCAAATGTGTGCCAAAGAATTTAAATACATTTTTTTTCGTCAAAATTTTATGACTTTTTAACTTTTTTTATAAAATGTGTTAAAAACTATTGATGCACAAATTTTACAGCAAGCCGCCATCGAAAATTATGTTTAGCAGGTCAAAATATGCGAAAAAAACTGGGGTGGGACCATTTTAATGGAAAAAGCCACGGGAACCCGCCTGACACCCACACTAATGGGTACTATATACGCGACTATAAAAATGAACGAATGAATGAGTTTGCGAGTATATTCGACAGATGCAAGCGTGACGTTTAAAATCTAATTAGCATAGACGGTAGAAAATTGTTTTCAATTATTTGAAAAATTCGATGAAAAGGCACAGTCTTGTACTCCAGTCCAAGAGCACGTCATGCCATGGCTTTGTTTTGAAAATATTTTATCTGTATAACATATTTTATATTATTGTTCATTTATTTAATACTAAAACATTTCTTAAAATTACACCCAATTACCAAATGTCCTCATGGAAATGATGATTGCACCACCTTCAATACATCGCAAAGGGTTATTTTAAATATTGTTTCACAAAAGGTATATTTTCATTCATACATCGTCTGCCATAAAATAACTTCATACTTGGGTACCCAAGCACTTACTGAACACTGGTTTTTTTTTATAGTCAGCGGGTCATCATCACCTGTAATAAATAAATTTAAATTCTGATATGTTTTTGATAAGTTTTGTTTGTTTCTATATTTTTGTGTACATTTTTAATAGTAAATTTATTTGTTTGTTCCTCAAACATATCGAGTTTTATTTTTTATATGATAATTTTTATGAATATCAATATAACGAGAAATACTTATACTTAAGAAGTATGAATTCAAATTAGAATACATAACTAGTTACGACGTACAACACACAAATACGTATTTTTTAGGTATTGCATGCCATACATAACCTGTAGGGAAACCTTTCATGAACGAGAAATTTTTTTTTTGTGAAGAATAATTTCGTGAATCAACACGTATAAAACTTTCATGTTTACGTTATTAATACAACTACTGTTTCAAATAACTTTACATAATAATAAATATTGATATAAATAATTTAAAATCACAGAGCTATCACTGCTGCTTGATGTAAACAAATTCAAACAAAATTCTGGTATTAGTTGCGGTCATGGTTTATTCTTACAGAGTTAAATTTTAAGCTTCAACTAACGTTGTGATGGGAACAAGACATAGATAGTGTATACTTATCTGTTTAAAAATTTTTGTTTTTGAAATTTTGTTAGGTTGTAACCGTAAATTAAATATTTTAACGGTAAATTCCCTCCCAAATGCATGCAACTGAATTTTGGCATTGCAATTTAATCGTTCCTTACTCTGCTGCAGTCAAGAATATTCAAGGAATTTTTTTCCAATTTTTCCATCATAATTCGACAGTGCGACAAGCTCACAAATTTGTGAATTCAGACTTCCTAAAATAAAAAGTAAGAACCCGCAAAGCTAAAAAATATCATGTTTTTTGCATAATGTTAGACTATCGACTCGGAAGGGTAAGAACTTGTGAGTTAAAATAAACCTATTTAAAATCTTACTAATGCATGTATAGCAAAGTCCTAAAAAATTATTAACAATAGCAATAAAAAAGCTCAAAGTTTTGCAAAAATACGCTAGCTTTTTACTTAATTCAGTAGGATCTGCTAAGTGGCGTAGTAGTAAAATCGAAACTACCTAAACTAGAAGTAAGTGGATCTGGTTATAATATCCCCAAGCAAGTTGCCTGAAACCATAGTCATTCACCAGCAGTGCATGATGAATAGAGTTGTGAGTCGTGCAGCTGGGTATCCCGTCTACCAACGACACTCTTCTTCAAGAGAAATACCTGTTAGAGACCCCGTTTCAAAAACTCACAGATACTGCAGGAAAAAAAAATTCATATAGAATTAACCTAGACTTAAAAATATTCGTCTTTAGGAACCGCTAAATTTATTTGAAACATTGTTTAAAAAATTCGTGAAGTGAAAAAAATTGGTTTTTTTTGAAATAGCATAAAAAGTCTATACCGTATGGAAAATCGGTCTGCATGTCAAATGTAACTCTTAAAAAGATCTACAAAATAAAATAAAAATTGATTGCTTTAGGTTATTTCGTTCGTCCGCATAGTTAAAAAACCACTAAAACTAGCATATTTTCCGATTGTTAATAACAAATAACACCTTCAATCAAATACTTTCAAAGCAAATAAAAGTTGTGTGTCTTGATGGCATTATTCAACGCCTAAAATTTCAAATCGATGTAATTAATAGTTGTTGTAAAAAGTCATTAGTTTATAACAAAGATGCTTGCATAAAATCGCTGGCATTTTTTTTTACATGGTACACTAATGATTTTGATTGAATTCTCTTCTTAAAGAGTTACTATAACTACAATTCTTATTTTGTTAATTTTTGCAAATTATACTATTTAAAAACGTATTCAAAAAACAGGAAAAGCGACTTACGTCGAATTCCATCCCGGCCCAATAAATTTACAAGTGACACGAATAAAAGGCGCTTTGAATGCCAACGTCTCTGGCGTAATACCAGGAGACGTCTAACTAGAGCACAATCCGCTCAAACAATTTGGGATTTAGTGGTCATTCTTTCAACCATCCTGGTGCTACCAAAGAAGATTTTGCTACAACAGTAAACCAGGGAGAAGAACACTAAAGAGTTCAGGCAGACACACTAGCTAGAAATTCCATCACCCCCTCTTCAGTGGTTATTCCCAACGGCATACCCATGAAAGTGATATTTTCTAGGCCCTCTTTTCCCTTTCCTGACCAGTGGTAAGCGGATACTTATCCGGGGAACAACTCAAAGACAAGATATTCTCCAGCTAGCGGTGTACCTTCCTCCAGCACGGTCTCCGTACACTGAGACTCCCAGGTTAAGAGTCAAGCTACCCGCAACCAGCTTTCCATCATTAAGAATAATAACAAGGAATAGCTGGAAGTGTCACCACTGGCCCTTTTCAGGGCCACCATGAGAATTTACATTATTTAATTAACCATCAATCTCTTCGGTTCTTTTAAGAGCTATCAAACATTAGACTATCTTGACAACAAATAGATTTTTATAACCATTTCTGGCAACGATTCGTCTACAAAAATAGAATATAAAACCAGCCACTGTTAAACTAAGTCACTCATACACTGGCACACGTCGCGAGAGGAATTTTTCTCTACGAGACTGGATATCCTGACTACCGATAACCCTACATTATACTCTCGACTCTAAGCATTCAACCAGAAATTACCGATCCGCTTCGAGGTCCGCTCTAAGTGAACCCAACAGTAAAGCTATAAAGGAGAAATAAACTAGAGCAAACGGGGCAGTCTTCAACAGGCAACCGTCACAAACCAATTTCCCCACATCGGATCACCAAAAGGGCCACACAAACTAACAAACGGATTCCGAACAAAAGTGTTTTGAATAAGAAGTTTTTGAAGTTACATTTCTATAGGCACGTTATGCGCGAGGATAAATCGATGATTTCAGATTTTGACACTGAGAAAAAGTGTGACGGAAGTGGATTTTGCTTGATTCTCCGCCTTCGCCGCGCTCCTCTTGAAGTACTTCCGGTCCCCTACACCACACGACACCGCACAACCGCACAACGTGAGGGCACAACACTACAGCACATATTTTAAATTTTACTTTTTATTATTATCTACGAAAAAAAAAAAAAAAAAAAACATTTTCCAAAGAGATTTTAACACCCGACCTCTTGCACACTGGCTAAGACCCTTACCCACTCAGCTATGAGCAGGCTCAACATTGAAAAATCAATTACTTTATCTTATCTCACAGTTTGTAACTTATTTTTAATGTAAAGATTTATTTCATGTATTGTGACGGCGAGAGACCGACAAGCCATCACCGGTAGGCTAGGATAGGTAGGGAAGTAGGGAAAAGGGGGAAAAGAGTTAAAAGGACTAGGTAGGAAACGGGTAAGGGAAAGGAGGGGAAATTAAGGAAAGGCCCAGAGAGCGGCAGATTAGCTTGGGCTTGCGAGCGCGCAAGAAGCGAAATCGTTTTACGCGAGAAGCGTTTTTTCGGAGTTTTTTTTTTTTTGTAATTGTTTGCGGCTGCGCATCCTTTTCCGTCGTTCCAAAGCTCGGAGTGGTTTTCTGGAGTAGCCGTTTGGTGCAAGTTCGCTCCTGGTTCTGCTGGCATAGCAGGTGACACCGGACACGAGGTTATGAAGGCCAATACCAACAACCTCGGCCTTCGGACGCTGCCAGTAGGTGACCGTTTATTGTAAAAGGCAGCGGCCCTCGATAAGCCCGCGTGTATCTGCCCGTGACGCGATTTTGCGCTGCGAGCACATGGAGCACTCGCGCTCAACGTGCGATCGCACACCCACACATACTTACACTCACGAGTAACTTTTGCACATTTTATTTTATTATTTCATTGAATCTAATATTCTATTTTAGTTTAATTATACTCGTGAGTGCTTCATCTCTGTGTGTGCCCTTTTCCCCCTAGTGTACCGTATTTAAAGTCGTCGCGAGAAGTGACGACACCTGCAGCTGCGATACTTGGCCCCGGCAGTGTCTCAACGGACAAGACCCGCGTTTTAGATTACGGGGAGTATCGCCGAGGGTATCCAGGCAAGACGGGCTCGGTCAAGATTCCACCTCGTAATTCCGCAACGGTTGTACCCCGTAACAGTATATTAATTCATTGGGTTTAGTTATAAACTAAGTTAATAAATAAATAATTTACTTAATAAAATAATTTCTTTTTTTTAATTTTTTGGAAAAACTTGGAAAGTAGTATATTTTAGAAGAGCACCTTTCCAATGTATTAATAAATATTTATTCATACATATTTAATTTGTTACTCTTACAGTTAATAAATAATTATTTATACAACTTTTCAAATTTTTTCGAAATTTTCAAAAATTAAAAAAAAATTTTTTTGTACTGTACAAATTCCATAATTAGTTTTTATTGTGTTTAATTCTTCAACAATTTTTTCATTCGTGATTTAAGTGATTTTGTGACAAGAACGTTCTTCACATAGTTTGTGGGGGAAAAGTTCAGAAGATTGAGAGGAATGCTAATGTGTGCAGTAAAGCTAGAAATTGTTCTTCTCGTGCGGATGTACTCACGTACATGCTTTTACGCACCCTTCATCCTTTCTTTCTAAATTTATTTGAAAACCAACTTGTGGGTCTATTTGAAAATTAGATAGGTTTATCTAAAAGTAATCTTTTGTAAAGTTATACTACATGATGGTTTTTCTTAATTTTCTATGTACAATTATAATTTGTGTATTAAACATGGATGAGGAATAAGTGCGGGATCGTATGTGACGGATGTGGGCGTGACGTTACACGCACGTACAGAAAAGGTGTGAATTTTTTAACTTAAAACGTTGTACAGTATACGTGTCAATACACTACGATGTTCCATTAAGTGAGTCTCAAGCGAAGCCAAGACCGCTAGAAGTATCTCAAAATTCAAACGTTGGAATCCAACGAGAATCCGAAATTATTTTATTTGGTTTAATAACTAAAATAATTTTAAAAAATACATTGTACGAACATATAATATAGTAATTAATAATAAAAACTGCCAAAAAAAGTTTCAACGAACAAAAAACGATTTATGTAACGTATACCACGATATACTGAAGAT